TATGATATTTCCTCATCACGTTGACGTATTCCCATCTCTTTACCATGTGGGGTTTGCAATTGTTTTCTCATCCAGCACATTAAATCTTGCACTTATCCAGGAGTCCTTCAGGGCAGCTTTGCAGGGATAAACTTCCAGGGAGTCTCACTAAAGCTTAGGTGGCACAGCAGGACAGCAAGTGAAGCAAGCATGAGGCATTTCTGGTGATTTCTTTGCAGAATCCTTGAAGAAGGTTCACAAAATCCTTGAGATGGGTTCACAAAATCCTTGAGGAGGCAGATCCAAAATGGCCCTTGAGCAGTAGGGAAGGACATTCTGACCCTGACTCAGCATCACCTTCCCTTGACCCAGTCCAAACATGGTCCTGGTGCATTTGGACATGTGCAAATACCTGAATGCTTCAGAAAGTGGGATGTGAGGTGCTGGCTCTCTCCTTATGCTGGGAATAGCCACTCAAGGGTGAATTTCATAGCCTTGACCTTCCTTCTGGAGCAACTACACTATTTTCCACTGTAACTTTGCTCCCCTTGGGTTTACTTTTGGCTCCAGCTCTTTCTACCCTAATGGGGTGGGAACATCTGCCTAAAATCATAAACTGTCAATATTTTTTCTGTTTTTCTAATACTTCTGAGGATTTTTCCCCCCTATTCAAAACCTAAGTGTTATTTTCCTGTCCTTAGAATATTTATTATCCTGTTTTTCATTTTCTGTTCTGGGTATGTATTTGACACATCTTTAGTTATTAGAATAAAACCTGACAGTGTAGGAAATAGAAAACACTTGCCTACATTACATTTCATATTATGAATGGTGCTTGTTCTTTGCCATACAAACAGGCTCCTTCAATAATTTTAGTGTGTTGTTGAGAACTGTGCTGAGCCATTTGCCAGTAAATCAGCATCTCGTACAGTAAACTCTCCAGGCTTTGTCAGCCACTACATCTGGGGAACAAAATCTAATAAAAAAATCCAAACATGGAGCAGTTAGAGCTTATCACCTTGAAAAACTTACAGTGTTTTTGTTTAGGAACCAAATATCTGGGGTTTTTTGGGGTGCAGTTGTTGTAAAGCTTTGAGATGTAAAGTAAAATGTGCAAAACATCTGCTTTTTGCTGCAAATCTGGTATCTGCAATTAAATGCATTGGCCATTTGCAGTTTTCCTTTTAGTTCCTGGGTATCAAGAAACTGGCTAATTCTCATATGTTCATGGCAGCATTCTGATTCTGTGGGATGAATTTAATTTACTGCATTCCTTAGAGCTGCTGTTGTAAGAGGAGGGTACTGGTGGAAGTAATGAGGAATGAAATCCCCAGAAAAATGAAAAATAGGGAGAGCAAAGGCAGGTCCTGTCAGAAGCAGGAAGGATTCTGAAGTTTTATGCTGGCTTTTTTCTTTGTTTTATAAGAAATGTGTTGAAAGATCCTACTGTTTGACATACAAAGTATATAAAAATTATTTCCACCAGGTCCACAATGTCTCTGGTGCCTGACAAACTAATATCATGTGAGCAGTAATTAGTGCTGACATTTCTTAAGGCCATGATGTGGAACACACAGAGCAAGCAGAGCTATTCATAAAAACAAGAATTCACAGATTTTGAAGTTGTTCTGATCTTTGCAGAGCAACTTATTTTGATTGAGTTCCTTGTCTGTTTTTGAGTGTTTGGATCAGTACAGGAAGTACAACCTTGCACATCCTCAAGTATCTTTGTTCCTGGTGTTGTTACCTCAAGTCTCAACTTTTCAGCACAATTTCCATTGCCCCTCTTCTTTCAGAGTATGTACTTGATAGATGAGAGGTTTTGAATGGTGAGAAAGGATGTTTTTTGTTTTATAGGAGTTTGTTTTATAATAAAATATCCAAGCTTCCAGGCGTATCTGTGAGGTGTTTGCTGGTTCAGCTTTGAAGGCTGGAACAGGAAGGTGGACAGACAGATGTATGATATCTATAGGTACAGTTATGCTGAAGGTCTGTGCTTTCTGCTTTCATTCCCCAGATCTCCTTTAGTTCTGATTTTCTGCATAGGAATATTTTTTCTTTTTGGTTAAATCAAGGGAGCTTATAAACCTGAGCTTATAGAACTCAGCTATTACATTTTTTTGACTACTACTTGAAACACAGGGGTTTTGAGTATTGTAAATTTGCATTTTCTCATGTTTTTTATCATCAGACGAGCTTGATAGTTTGGTACCTAAATTGTTTTGATATCATGTTCTCCAGTGTGAGTGAACAAATCTGAGCATTTTCTGCCATTATTAGGTTCTTAATATCTGTTATCATCATGGCATGACAACCTGGTCCTGCCTGTGGTGTTGACTGGTCATCAAAGTCAACTCTACAGGCTGCCAGGTGTGCATTACCTGCCAGGTACCTCCCCTCTGTGCTGAGCCCTATCACCAGCAACAAATCCTATTCCTGATCTGAATGGTACAGGCAGGGATGGCAAGGAGGCCACATTCAGCCCTCTCTAAGAATATTGGGCTCTATGTGCAGCCAGACTCTGCTGAGTGCTCTGGACAAAGTGCTCAGGTTGGTGGATTACTCTGGGCAGGTGTTGTGTGGGCTCTAAAAACAAGCAGCTTGTGCCAGCTGCTTGATCCTGGAACTTTATCTTTGTGCTTGAAGGCTTTGAGATAGGGTGTGGCTTTCTCTGGCTGCTCAGTGTCCTGACAGAGCTCCACGCCTGATCTGAACAAGTGGTGCTGGATGTCTAAATGTGAGCACTACTGAAACAGGCAAAACACTTAGAATGCTGTGTTTGGGTTTCTTTCTGCTGCAAACTGTGATTAAAACAAAACCTAAGCAATTCATGGCAAGATATGAAATCCTAACTCACAAAGTGAATTTGGAAATGTTGACAAATACATTTGTGGTGTCCCAGTATAACTGCTCCTTTTCTCAATTTGCAGGGTTACTCCAAAGCACCGCATGATTCCTTCCTAGGAACAGTCCCTTCTATCACAGATCTCTCTCCCCTTAAACCCCTTCTATCAGCTTCCATTAAAAGAGAAAATAGGGTTTATTGCTTATTGCAAGCTTTATTATGGAGGCTTGGCTTATCTTCCTTCTGTTACGGAAAAACTTGGACCAACAACTGCTGGATATTTGTCCAAAAATGTAGATTGATGCATTGTGGATTTTATGTTCTCAGTAACTGTATTCTGCACCCTAAGTGAAGCTTAAAAGGCACCAAACAAGTAGGAGAAACAAGTTTATAAGTTCACTCAAAAATATTGGAGGCATGTGACTTCCATTGGTTTTCAGTTTTTATTAGCTAGGTAAACCTTGAGGTGGAAATTTTGCTTTTTTCAATTACAGGATTTGACAGTATTAATCTACAATGTAATATTTGCTGTGTGACATTTCTGTGGTTGTGTTGTGGATTTTTCTGTCACTGTATGGGGTTGGAAGCAGTTTGAAATGCTTCAAATGAAGTAACTTGAAAATCACGTATTTTACAGATATGGAAAGAGGATCCTGGAAATTGAACACTTTGATGATCAAGTAATTTACCCACGTGCTGAGAGAATCCTAAACCAGGGTCACCAGTGCAGACAGGGCACCCTTGTGTCAGCCCCTCTGATCCGAGCCTTCCCTGCACCTTGCACTGAGCAGTTGAACTCTTGACAGTTCTGGGTTCCTCACCATTTTCCATCTCCATGCTGAGGGTCCCCTGAGACCTCTTCTCACTTCACAAGCTGCAATCTTTCCAAACCACAGACTCTTGACTTTCCTGTCAGGTACTCCTTGCACTGTTCTCTTCAGGCACAGATAAAATAACATTTTTGTCACATTAAAGCTCCCTGGCTGCTCCCTCACACTTCTTGTAGTGCCTGTTCTTCCATTTGATGTAAACAATTCCTTGGTGCCAGAGCATTTTTTTTGCTTCATCTTGCTTTCTGTGAACTTAAATGTGGTACAATGTGAGCATTAGGGATGGGAGATTTTTGGGCCTGACCCCTCTCCAGACTGAAAAAAAATACCAACCTGAAAAATCCCTTAGTATTCAAGAAGGTCAAACATGTGCTGTGTGAACTTGTTAAACACATTTATTGAGTTCTTGACAGTAACCAAACACAGTGAATGACCATTATAAATAAGAAAAAAGGCATTTGCATTTACTTGGCCAGCTCCTGCTTTATCTGTAAAGAAAAAATATCCCTTTCACCACCCATTTACAGGATTGAATGTTTGTCCCAATAATTGCTTCAGCAAGGAAAATGACAATTTTGAACTATGTTTCATCTGCTTTCTGCTTCTGAGCCCAGTCCCTGTTAATAATGGACCATAAAGTGGAGTTAAAATTATACCACCTTTAAGTGCATTCCCAATTGTCCTTAACTCAATTGAATGGGCTGCAAACAAAGAAATTAAGTAAAACAAGAAAGAACAAAAAAAAAAGAAACAAAAAAAAGAAAACTACAAATAATACATCCACAAATAGTAGAGGCTAGTTATTTAAGAAAGGAAAAAAAGAAATCAAAGCAACTTAACTAAATTAATTTGTTAAACACATTTATTGAGTTGTTAATAGTAACCAACACAACTTATGATGTTGTAAAACAAGAAACAGAAAATGGATATATTCTGATTTTGCCAAATCCTACTACAGTTATGTGACAGAGGGAAATATTTCAATTTCCTTTATATTCTGCAGTGATATATTTACAATACTTATCTCTCAAGTCTGTCCCTTTTTAAATTAAATTAACAGAAAGATCATACCTACAAATGTTTCCTTTACAGTAGTCTTGTTCTGTCTTGTCAGTGTCCATTAATGATAGTGAAATAATGACAGCTTTCCAAGGATTACTTGGCACACAGAACACAACTCCACTTTGATGCTGTACTGAGCCACCTTTTTTCTTTTTTTTTTTTTTTTCAATTGAGGGAGAGAGGGGAAGAGAAAGAATTTCATATGTACAAAGTCTGAAAAGTCTTTCTTTGTGACTCCAAATTAGTTCAGGAAAATTGTAATCACGTTTACTGTAATACTTTTGTTTTCTTTTGTTTTGTTTGTTTTGTTTTGTTTTGTTTTTAGATGGCCACCAATCACATGAATAAATTTTGAGGAGTTTTCCAACATGGCAGCTCTTTTCCCACAGCACATGGTGCATGTGAGCCCAGAGAGGGAGGTTGGGTGCATTGTAGATGATGTCAATTCCCAGAAGGAGCATTCCACTGAGGATTTGGGTTCTGCCTGCTCTGTCTCATTTGAGGAGCCATTCATTTACTGGAAGAGAAACAAACAAAAACAATTATGTTTCAATAAACTCCAAATATGAAACTGGTTTAACACTGTGAATCAAATTGATTTAATATTGCATTAGGCAATTAGTCTTTAAAAAGCCAGGAGGTTCAGTTTCCTCCTTTTTCTAGAAAAGAATTAAGTCTGAATGACTGTTTCTTTAAGTATTGCAACACAGTCATCTGCCTTGCTGCTGAAAATGTCCTTTCCTTTCCTGTAGTGCTACTCCTTCATAATGATGATATTACTGCTGTGAGGGCACTTTAACACCATTATTTCAGGCAACACTGTTGTGTGCCTGGGCTCAAAGATGCATGAGACACATCAAAGCTCAGTTGTGAGCCATAGCTGTGGCAGTGCAGGACTCTAGCTGCAGGTGACTGAGCTGCTTCATGGTTTATATCCACAGCCTGACACAACACTGAGCAGTTTAGGTGTTTGTTATGGTGGTGCACCTTGAAAGTGAAATTAAGTCTTATCAACTATTAATTTGGTTTGAGATCAGTTGTCATCAAGACTAGCTCATCCCCCTTTGTGGGTGAGTAAACCAGAGCAAAATGCACTTTGTAAGGGGAGAAGACTTTAAAATGAGGCCAGAAAACCAAGGCCTCTCCTATTTACTTCTAAAAAACATAGTCAATGTCCCAGGCTGGTTTTTTTTTTGTCATGCTTTTCCTGCACATTTACTCATCTATTTCAAATGTGTGGCATTTGACTGACATAATTATTCCCTCAGATTTGGAGTTTTAAGTGTTTTTATTTGTATGCCTTGTTATTTTTTGGCATTTTGTATGCCCTTGGATTTCTCAAAGAATGGAGCTCAGTGAAAGCATAGAAAGGGTTTTTCTGGAGGTGGAACGTACCTCTATACTGTAGTTTCTGTGCTCTATTGTTTGGACAATCTTTTCCCTGTAAACTAAAGTTGATATTGGTTCGGATACATCGATTGTTGAGAGGCTGGACTGGTCTGAAATTGTCACTCATGCTCAGAAATATCTGTGATGGCTGATTCTGGCTTAGCAGTCGCAAAGAATGCATCTATAAAGACAAAACAAGGGGGTTTTAGTTCTGGTCTTTGCTGTAAGTAAACAACATACAAGACTTTTAAATAGATTAGTTAGTAAATGGAAATAAAACAGAATTTCAGTGAAACAGAATTTCAGTAAAACAGAATTTAACTCTGACAGTTTGTAGTCAGAGTTAACTTAAAACCATTCCTTGTGTGTTCTTCTGTTTCTGAACCCATTTTAAATGAGACTAACCAGTTTTGAGGAGAGTGAATGAAAATATTGAGGTGTCCTTGGGTGAACCAGAAAGTAATGGAGTCCACAGTGCTGGATGACAGCAGCTGGTACAGAGCAAATGGACTTGATGAATGACAAGAGCTAATTTCCTGAACAGTGTAGCTTTCAGTTGAGATGCCACAGTTTTGGTTGGTTTTATTCAAGAACTAGGTAGGGACAGGCTGGATGGGCAGGAAGACTGACAGACTGACAGTGATGCTGCTGAAGTCGTGAAATTAATGATGTTAAAAAGTGAGAGCTTCTTTTTGCTGACAGGTCTGTCATGATTCTGTCTGTGCTGTGACTGTGAGTGTTCCTACAGCAGAGCCCAGCCTTCTTCTGAGCTGGTTTCACAGCACAGGGGGAAATACTGAATCATCCTGTGCATCCAGGACTGGTTGGCAGAAATGGCTGTTATGGTGACTATGCAACTCTTAATCAATTCAAGTCAACCAAAATCAGAGAGGGAAAAAAAAAGTTTCAAGTTACAAACCAGAAATCTTCAATATTTTGGTTTAAAGATATGAAAACAAAATATATTCCATGTCAGTGTACAATTTAAGAGGTTTGTTTATGGCATTTAATGGGGAAATCCAGTAGCTGGGGTTTATGTACTGGAAGTCTTTAACAGCTTCTAGGGAAAACTTGAGCTGGGAGTTGCTTTTTCAGTATGAGTACACAACATAATCAGTAAGTATTCCACAAAATCCACTTTCAACATTAATAATGGAGGATATAACTAAGTATTAATGATGTGATTAACCATTAAAGCATGACAAGGAGCAAGTATCATGAGGTTATAAACCATAGATAGAAGGACAGAATAGAAATTTTCGAATCCTTATTTTGCACATTAATGTTGGACCTAAAAATGTTGCTTGTAGGAAAACATTCAGGTCCTGTGTTTGAAAAGTTCACAATAGTGAGCATTTTTGCCTCTGCTCAGCTGTGTCATTCTCCCAAATCACCCATTTAGAAAGGAAACAAAGTGCTTTCACTACCTCCAGATTAAACTGGACAGAAGGAATATCACAAAAATAAAACATCTCAGGCTTTTTAAAGTAATGTTATTTACAATGTTATTATGATTTTAAATCCCAGAGTGATATTTAGGGTTATTTTCTTGTTCTTAATTTCATTTTTCAGGCCATATTTCTTCTGCTGTCTGCTTGGGGCAGGCAGATGGTGGTTCAAGTATTCCTTGGTGTTCCAGTATACAAGAGGGGAGGTTTTAGCTCAGCTCACAGCTCTGTAGGCAACTCACTGATGGAAACTCTGGGGAAGAGGCCAATTGGTTTTAAATTTGCTGTCTTCTGATGCCAGGCTTTGGATTGTAAGCAAGTTGTACAGAAATTTAGTTTTTGAGATTTTTCCACTGGTGTGTTTCCTCAGTAGCTTCCTTTTGGATGTGAAGTTGTGGTTTTTCTTGCATAATTTCTCTTGCTTCTCTCTAATAGGGGCTTCAATACATCAATCTGATTTTTCCAAAGGTATTTGGGGTGTGTATCCTGTAATTTTATTCTATACCAGAAAATATTCGCTGATTTTATTTCCAGAAGGCCTCAGATACTGTATCTCTGTCACATTAATGTGCTATTGACATGTGTTTATTCAGAACTAGGAATGGCCTCTGTTATCCTTGATAGCCTCAGTTATGTTTGTACAACACTGATGTACTTGCTTTAGAGCCTCCAAGTAACTGTTCACAGCTTCATAGAATGATGCAGTTGTGGAAAGACTGTTGAAAACCATTTGATCAAACCTTCACTGGAAACCCCCCTTAAAATTTGTGTGTGTAGATACTGATGGAGTTCTTAACAGTTAATATTTTTATTTTGACAAAAAAACCCTCTTCAATGCTTTTGCAGACTGTATAAATAGCATGCAGAGATCCCTATAGCACAAGAGCTGAATCTAATGTAAAGCTATAAATATGATGTTTAAAATAATATTTTGTACCTATCCTAGATTGAGTGATTTGTAAATTGCTTTACCTGCATCCTTGTTATGTAGACAGGTTTGTTCATTATAATCCAGCTTGCTGTTTCATAGCAGGGTGGAATTGTCATTGACCCATCATACGTAATGAAACTAGATGTCTCTGGATAAAGTTCCTCAATATTAAGCCCCTGTAGTAAGTATGCATCATCTGGAGAACAAAAGAGGAAAACAACTCAGGTAAAACAGCAGCATCCCAAAACAAACAACAAAAAACCCCAAACAAAACAAACAAACACCACCACCCTTTTCATGTCTCCTAATTCCAAAACGTGATGACATGATGTTCAGTTCTACCAAAGAATGATGCACATTTCTGGATGCTCCAGCAGTTTAGACAAGAACAAGTAGCACAAGTAATACCCCTCACCCTGCTGGGTGGATCTGCACTGAGATTCCCATTCACACCCGCTGGGAACTGAGCACAGGCACTCACAGGACAACTCTGAATCACATTTAGGGACTGGAGTCAAAAGCTTCTTGAAGTTGCAGTTATTGATTGAGAGGCAGAAGCCTTTGGAGAGTGTTGACTTTCCATCTTTTAGGGTCATTAACAATTTTTTCTTGACAAAGCCTCAGGAAGACCAAGACAGTTAAAACCTAATTGCCCTTCTGCCACAGAGGAATTTGCAGTTAATGCATGACAATAAAGTTGCAGTTAATGCATGATAATAAAGCTGCTCCATGAAGCCTCCTGGCCTTTCATGTGCACAGTGGCCTGGGTGCAGAGCCAGCTCCCTCAGAAAGCTAAACTCTAGGTGGAAGGCTTGCTGGGAAGCAGTACCAGGATTCCTGCCTTTATTGTAAGCCCCCCTGGGAATTAACGAAGTGTATTCCTCTGCAACAGAATTTATTCTGTGGATATGTACGTAAATATAATGAGATATATCTTTCAAAATTCATCAGAGTTCCTCAGTGTTTTCTGTACTATCTGCACTATTTCTCTTGGGTAATGCTGGCCCTACAGTACTTTTGGCAGTGCTGTCGAAGCTAAAACTCAGATTTTCCTGCCAAATCTTAGGCTGTAGGAGTTTATCCACTCAGGGATAAACATATTTTATTACTGATACACTACTTGTGTGTATCTAAGAGAAAGCTGGGGTGGTTATGATTTGTAACATTGTGAGATCTCTTTGAACCCTTTCACTTGTGTGTGGTGTCTCCAATTTGGTTCATTTGCAGAGGGAACATTAAAATACAGGCAAGGAAAAGTGCACACTGAGGTGTGCTCCCTCTTTCAATGCTCAGCATAAGCTGACCTTGAGTTGTAGAGAAATCCAAATGATCAAGGAAGTGTATAGGAGCTAAAAAAGAAAGGTGCAATTTAATTTGAATTTAACATATTGTAGCTGAAGGACATAACTTAGATGAGTAAAAGACTTGTCTTGTACAACCTAATGGAAAAATAAGAAGAGCTGCAGACTATTGTCTTGAGCAACAGAAAATCAAAGAACACAGGCAGAGAAAATGTGACCTTGTTTTTTATTTTAACACAGCAGAGTCAACGTGGTACAGTGTTTTGGGGCAACAATATTGGCAGCTACAGTTAAAGTGCCAAGGTGAGAGTGTAATATTTCTGCCTCATTGATCAGGGCCTTACTGTTATTTAATATTTTAAATGTGTTTGCTGTTTTACAAAACAAAATCTTTGCTGGTCCTCTCATGTTTGCTAGAGAAAGAGCCCTCTGCCCTGCCCCTGCAGCTTGAGCTGGGTGATGGCAGTGCTGCATGGCTGGCTGCATCCTCAGAGGGGAAGTGCCATTAGTGCCTGGGAGGGGGCAACACTGTCCCCTGTTTTAATATACTTCACTGGCCCATGGCCCGTGACAGCTTCTTTCTAAACCCAAATCTTCCAGACACAAGCATGCAAACACAGTCAAAATGCATTCATATTTGAACAAGTAGAGATGACTGAATACACCTGTGTCCTGGTCATTAAAAATGTTATTTACAGCGCACTGGTAATTTTGCTAGAATTGCATCAGAAGAGAACTGATGGACTTTTTTCTTGCCAATGCCTGTTTTCAATGAGTCGTCACACACTTTCCCTTTCCCACATGAACATCCTGTTCATTATTTATGAGCCATGGAAAGTGGCATGTTTTAACACCAAGCGGCACAGAGTCAGGCAGAAGAGATCCCTAAGGACCAAATCTGTTTTCTCACAGCCATATTGGCTTCAGCTGGGCTAAAATTATTTCAACCACGTAGAATTTGCCCTGAAATGTTTACTAGGAGATGGAAAACTAACTGAAGATTAATACAGATGAGTGATATTGATATGAGAAACTGGAGGAAAATATCACTTCAGGAAAAGTCAAAGATAGGGGTGAATGAAATAAGGGTTTGTCCAAGAAAACACAGTACTTATTAATGCCTGCATATGAGTTATATTCCCATGGGAAGTCAAATGATTGCATGGGAGAAGACTACACAGTAAGAATTTGGTTACCAACACTTTCCCCATGAACAGGTCTGTCCTTTCCCCACATCTTGGTAAGTGTTTCTTGTTCTGGAGTTGAAGCAGACCTGGTGGGTTGGTATTAATACCAGACTGCAGCACTTCCAAGTCTTGCTTACATTTACTGCAAATACATTCAAAATGCTCAAAATCACCCTGTATGATCTCTTGCCAGTGACAAGCTTCCTTTCATAAACCCATCCAGCCTTTCCTGGATGCTCTGCATCATTCCTATCTGCAGCCCACAATGTGTTTCTCTTGATCTGCTGGTGCCTTATGGTGATTTCCAAACCAGGAATTTTCCTCTCTACAAATTAGATTTCATTAGATTTCACATTCATTTATATAAAGGCCTTGACTCTGACAATTTACCTAGGAAATTATGTAAATCCTTTTATCCCTAGGCTTGTATTAGATGTGTGGGATTGACTTTCACAGCAAAATCTGTGTATGTTCTGTTTATAATAATGCTTTTTATAGGGGATAGAGTATTTATTGAGTGGAGGAAGATACATTTGATTTTAAAAGTTCATATAATGATAATCCAGAAGAAGATCTAGGTTAGATTTACAGGGTAAGGAATGTAGAGATCCTCAGTTTCTCTGCTTACCAATGACAAGACCAAATTTTCATGTGGAATTTTGGGAATCTAAAAAGTTAATTTTTTCCCTGGTGTTAAGCAAATACTGGATGAAAACTCATGTAGCATAACTGTTTTGAAAGAAAACTAACTTATCCCCTCAAATGGCACACTTAATGAGGAATAATAAAGTAGTTTTCTTTTGAGATATCCACACAGCTTTTGACTGAAGCCTGCCTGAAAAAACCCTTGTTTCAGCTTGCTCACAGTAGAGTCTTTGGGCTGTGATAACAGAACAAAAAAACATTTAAAATCTCCTTAAAAATTCCTTGGGGTCCACTTCACTTTAGCCATTAATATCTAAGAGCAGGAATTTCCCTTTTAATGCTCTTGGCACATGGAAATTTCATGAGCAGGAGAGACAGCACTTAATTTTGTTGCTGTTCTTTAAAAAACACAAACAAAACGTTTTATTTATGGTTGAACTGTCCTGACTCTGAACCAGCATTCCTTTTATCATTCCCTCCACACTCCTCTGGAGCACATGGGGCCTGGGCATTTTGTCAGCACCATGCTGAGTGCTGACTTCAGGAGTGGAGCCCTAAAGCAGAAGCTGCAAAACTCCAGCTACTAAAGGCACACTAGAAATCCTTGCAGTGTAAGAGGTAAAATTAGCTTTCAGCAATGATGCTACAATCCATCATGCAAGACAACTGCAAAATTACTTTCAATAACACATTCATGTTCCCAATTTATACTAAAAATTCACAGTCAATACTTGTTACTACAGTAAGTAACCCAATGCCCTGAGGAATATTGTGTGCATTGTGCCTGCCAGTGGTTTAATTTTAACAGATAAACTTAGCGAAAACTGTGGTAAAAATTAAAACAATTCTGTTAATCACTGCTTTTCCAGCCTGTGTTTTAGGTGTTCATCTTCATGAGGAATTTCATTTAGTATACCCAAATTAGGTGAGATTGGAATCTTGTTTCCCTTGTAAGGAAAGTTCCTGGCAATGCAAACCTGAAATTTCTGCCCATATCAACGTGTCTGTTGTTTCAGGATCACTAAATGTGTATTTGATACTGAGAGAACACAGCTGTTACCAGAGGAAATGAAAGGAAACTTACTCTTATATGTTATTCTTGTTATGGTGTCTCTGTTAAGCATACGATTTAGAAATGGATTTGATGATTCAGATACCTACAGAAGAAAAAATGCACAATGTCAAAATCTTCTCACAGACATTTCCTTGCCAGAACTGCAGCTCTTCCATGTGTGCACACAGACACTTACTCTTTGATACTCTTCCAGTTGGGTTCTGCCTTTTTTTCATTGTTGTGGGAGAAGGAAATAATTACTTGTTTTTCTAATGAAGCTTCATAGAAAGTTGGTAAAATAAAATAAAACACAAGGAACAGGGTGAACAGAAATGAATGTCTGAATAAAAGCATGAGCACAGTTTCTTCTCCAACAGTATTGATGAAATTTGTTGATGAAATTTGGTTGATAAATTAGGCAGGACTTTCATTAGTATTCTATTACTTTATTTATTGATAAATATAATTTCCTTGCAGCAGGATATTTTAATTGCAAATTAAAGCTCTCTTCCTCTGGTTTATGTCTGGGTAATATATGAGGTAACACCTCATGATCAGGTGGAGCTTTCCATGTGTCAGATTCTGGCCCCCTGTTGCTCAGCAGCCCTGAGCAGAGTCTGGTCCATCCTCTGACCCTCCCTGCAGGTACTTCTAAATATTGACAAGATTCCCTCTGTCTCCTCTTTAATTTTCCCATTTTCATGAGTGCAGGTCAGATTGTTGGGTCATAATACAATACATTTTGGATTTAAAAAAAAAGACAAACAAACAAAAAAAAGGTAGCATAAATATCTCTCTTAAATATTAGACCTGTGTGAATATTGCCTTTTATATCTAATTATTCCGTATACTCTGTGAAATGCATACTTTATATCTGAGGTTAATGCTTTGTTAGGACCTTTATGAAATGGGATTACAGTACTGAGGGGAACTAACAGATACCCCATACCTAAGGTGTGATGAGGTGAACTTCAGCATTACTCAGAAATACACACTTTTTTTAGACTGATGAAACAGAGATACATAATGACAGAATATAAACAATATTTGGAGGGGAGAAGTAATTTTTTTTCTATAAAATGAGAGAAAAGGTTTCTCCAATGTAATTAAAGACCTTTAGGAAAACCATGAAGTCTTGAGTTCAGCGTTAGATCAGCATAAATTATAGACTTAACTATGTACCTTGAATGCAACAGGATGGAGACAAAATATTCATGTCTTTGTGGCTCTGTGAAATGCAAGATATTAGAAGTTCTACTTTTAGCATTCTTGCAGTTTTCATAGTTTTAAGATGTTTTAAATAACACAGAGAAAAACTGATTTTGCTGGCTTGGACACATCAGCATGACATACCCTCTTTCCCAGGACCTCAACCTACTAGAAGTGATTTGAATAAACAACATTTCATAAAGAAACACTAAATCTGCGAAGCTAGTGACTTCTGCTATTGCCATTAAAGTGTTATGAGTGATGTTTATGATGTAAGGTTTTTTTTTCCCCACCTCCCTTACCCCTTTAAATTTTCTTTATATTGTAAAACCTTTGGAGCAGAGATGTTGTGCTCAGTTAGGAAGAAACTGTCTCTGGATTCCAGATCAGAGCTTCTGGGCATTGCTGTACCATAATTAGGAGTCTTAATACATTTCAGGTAAAATTTACTGTCTGTATATTAGGAATCTGTAGTATGGAATACTTACTTTCATAAATATGGAAACTACCACCAACCCATTAGGACTCTTTGCAGCTTCTGTGACATTTGTGTACAGCTCATGGTTATAGTGGATCAGCTGAACCTAAAAAAGAGTGAAGGAAAGGATTACAATTAACCAGTGGCAAATAATCCCATACAGTGTTTGCAAATACTACCCACACACTGCTTGGTTTGTATCGGGATCCCATCTCTGCTTTGGGTACTTTGTAGCAGGGGAAATTTTCAGGCATTTGCAGCACATATAATTTTAACAATTTCAGTCACCATCTGGCTCCAACTGGTGCAGCATCAGCATGTTTTCCTCTGAACTGCCAGCCACTGAATTCACCCATATCCAGTTACAGATTGCACGGCAGGGGCTGACATCATTGACATCATTTCCCTCTTCCAGCAGCACTTGCCACGGGCACCAAGTAATCTGTACTCTGCAGCCCCAAGCAAAACACAGAGGAATCAGGGGCTGAAATAACTGAGGAAACATATGGGATATGCGTTTGGAACTGTGAAAACCACCACTCGCTGAATTCAAAATACTGATATTCATTTGCCCCAGATTCTGCAAACTTGGTTACAGAGGCTCCTACAGTTAAGCACTTACTGTATTATTGTTTACCAAGTTCTCCTTAGCACCTGCAGCTTTCCTTCTGCTTTTAGTTTTATGATTGGCTAAAACTTTTAAATTACAAAGGTACAGTTCCCTTCTCTCACTATCTATTTAAAAGTCTTACCCGGAACCTTGATATTTGATTTGTCTGGGATCACCAGACACTGTTACAATTTACATTGCAAACTTTATTTTATTTTTTTTTTTTTTTGAAGATGAACAAATTTAATGAACTCTTGTGGCAGTTAAGTACTTCTGAACAGATGAAAGCTGGTCAGCTTTATTTAGCCTAAAGATCTTTCTTAGTTTTCAGATGTCAATTAGAAAAGGAAGGTTCTTGTTCTGGCACTGTCAGAATTGCAGCAGCCTGATGTTCACATTTAAAAATCAGGTCTGTCTTTCATTTGCTGATACTTCTAAAGGCTGTTCAGAGAAATTTCTGGACTTACATTCTGTGAACAAGATCAGTATTAACTTGGTTTATATCTGATAATCTTTGTAACAGTTCAAATGGTCCAAGACTAAGCCAGTAAAGAAATTCCATTATAATGTGCTGTCCAGGTTTATAATGAGGGGAAAAAACAGCCCCTAAACATCACTGAAACAGGGTTTAATGCCTGTATTGGTGAACTTGTCTTTTGGATGAATGTGAGGTCTGGTTACTCAGTACTGAAATGTAATTGTGAGGATTTTTCTGCAGGAATGATGTCCCTACAGGATCTGCAGTGCACAATCAAGTTACACAGACTAAACCTCACTTTACCCAAAGGCGTAAGCCCAGCAATGCATGTGCTGATCTGATTATAGCAGTATCCCAAGTTATGTGTAACCTACACCATTATTATCTCTGTCCAAGATAGGGTAAGAAATAAATTATGCATTCAAACAGTTCTATTTCCCACATTCTGCCCTGACTGCAAAATGTATTATTCTGTTAAGTAAATCTTATCAGCTTTATAGAAAAGGCCCTCAAGTATTGTCCTCTCACCACCCCCCAAATCCCTTTGTGATGCTGTTTTAGTGCTTGGACATAGATATAAAAAGGGCAGTGAAAACTCTGAAAGAGAAAATTTGCATTGTAAGATCAGAAAATTTTTGGTGTGTAACTTTGCTATTTACAGCCAGCAGTTCAGAGACCAAAAAAATAAGGTGACGGTCAAAAGTACTGCTATGATGTGTTAATTTCAATTACTTTTGTCCTGTCTCAGTTGGGAGCTATCTAAAACACGCCAAAGGAGTCAATGGAGTCCTCCACCAAATCCTGACAGCCAGAAAGCAGTGAAGGTCTCATCCAGCACATAATTATAATGCTCATTCATCATCACTTTGTGGTACTACTGAACTTTGGTAACATCCCTGTTCTGGGGACTGTACACTCACTGACATTTTTAGGCTTAGTCACATATTTGTCTTTTTATGTACAACTCTTTATCCTGGCAGCCAAACAACTTGTGAATTATCAAGGAAATAAGTGATGAAATCTGCTTTAGACTAGACCTCCTTCTGTACAAAGTCCCAGAATAACAATTAATTAGATAAACTCATTTTATATAACAAACCAAAATGCTGGGTGCAGGAATGGCTAAAAGCAAGGGACAAATTCTCCTTCCACCCATGGGAACCCTGAGTCAACATCAAACTCTTGTTTCTTGTTTTTGATGGCACTTACAGAAATAAAACCCCTCAAGCAGATACAACCACATGCAGGATATTTGTCCCAAACAAAGGTCGCAGTGCCTAATGAACAGATACTCTTTTTTTTTCTTCTCAAACCTGTCACTTTCTCTGTGCTGGAGTTGTATCCTGTTGTATCATTCCTCCCTGCACCCAAATTAATTTTAAAGCTGTTTCCATGGTATCATGGTTAAATTCATTAGGTTTATCTTTTTTTAGAAAAAGGTTGACCATCTAAGGAGGCATAATGTTCAAAGTTTCTCACATGGAACAGGCTAATTTAGAAAGATTCAAATGAAAAAGTGTCTTAAACACAGAATACAACAGGATAGAAAACCATAATTCCCTATTAAATTTCCTCTGAGAATAATTTCTTTAAGTTGCCTGAAATACCTGTAGCATTTGGTCTTTATAAAATATTACTGGAGTCTTCTGTGAAGGTGAAGCCACAAAAGTAAAATTGCTTATATATGAAAATCTCACTTTTCAAAAGATGACACTGTATTAAAAGCACATCACAGTAAGAGCAGACTTAAAATGCTGAAAGCACCCTTTGAGTTTAGTTTGGGTTTCAGGGCTCAAAGGCAATACTGAATTTTGTTTTAACCCACTGATTTTTTTAGGAAGATTCCTCCTTTAAGATTAATTTGTCACAGAACAAGTGAAACCTCTTTGTTTTCCTCCAGCTGCAGAAGATCTATTTTGAAGGAAAAAGATTAATTAAGATTAATTATTCTATGATGAAAAAACAGAATGTGGCCTTGTTCCATCACCCAAGAATGTGCACTGGACCAAGACCAGAATCAGAAACAGAGCTTTTTAGCCTCTCAAGTCTCTCCATGTTCTGATGCAGCCAAAAATGGAGCAATAGGAAACTGAGGGAATTTAGAATATTGTGGTAATTCACAGACATTCTTCCACAGACCACTTGGGAATAATAAAATACCCTTTCTTCTCACTTGAAAAATTATAAATATTTTTGATTTGTAAATGACAAGAGAAGAAAAGCATGAGGTAAATGGCAGCAGGAAACAGCTCACCTGTAACCATAGTATTTATATTATGCTGCACTACCTCAGAAACTGTTGGGGTACCTCACAGAAAGCAAGCAGAAAGTATATTTCCAGCACGGCAGGGAACACAAGCAAATGAAATTGTTCAAGAAGACCTGTTAAATGTTTGTTTTGATTCGGAGTTCCTGTAAGAAGTATCTAAGATATCTTTAAGGAAAATAATTACGCATTTTTGTTTATCCAAAGTTTAATAAAAATAGCAAAAGAAATGTAGTTTCTGCATGGTGGGTGCCCAGAGAGGAAAATAATTTTACTGAGTTAAAAGCTATTAATAACAATAGTTATTCACTGTTAAAATATAATTGTTCTTACAGGTATTGTTAAACCCTTTGGAAGGAATGGCAGTGTTGCACAACCCGTGGGTATGAACAGGTATGAGATCAGTGCAATTTTGTGTGAATGACAAAACTGTTTTTAAAGTTGTCCTAAATTAAATTAAACGTATCTCCTGCTTTGTGGAAAGGCATAGCACCAGCTGGGAGAATGTGGACCAGCTCTGTGGTCCTGATTTTTCTTGTTTTTCTCGACCAATCCCTGGCAGTGATGCAGGAGAATTTTCTTATATTTGAAGAACAAACCCATCTTTTCATGCCCAGGGTACTCAACCATGAAATGTTAGTGTCTGACAAGGTGGTTTTACCCATACCCTGATTAATTAATCCACAGATGTACCTTTTATTCTTTATGTAAAGACAGTAAAAATTTTATTCTTTATAAGCCCACAGCAATGCAGTGCTCTTGCTTTGTTGATAAATTGATAATATGAATTGTAGATGATCATTATTATTTTTTACTTTAAAGAATAAGACTAAGAATGCATGGAAGGAACTAATTTTTCTTCTGCTTCTGAGCAGACAGCTGTGTAAAGTAATGCAATAATTGTGCAGTAAAGTGGAAATGCAGTTGGGTTAACTACTCTTGGCTGCAAAATCTACTTTATTAGCAATAATGGCATGCTTGGAATTAGCACTGAAGCTACAAATGGAGTCTAACCATTTCATTAGAGCAGTTGGTAACAAGAGCTAACTTGCAATAAAGGGTGTTCAACAGTGAGCCTTAGCCAGTGTTCCTTGGTAGCATTAACATGGGGTGATATTTTCAGCATGTATTATGGCTCCTACAAATGAATATATAATAAATATATAAAAGGCTCTGCCATAACCTGCTTTAGGGCTGAAGTAGTTTTCTCTAGTTATTTCTAGATGCCATTTGTGCTGCTGACCTGGTATCTTAGAGTCTGATGAGGCTCTAACAGAGCCTTATTTCTTGTTTATATGCAACCACTGCAGCTAGAAAATATTTTTTTAAAAAATTACCTAAATGAAATGTAGACGATTAAGTCTTTCTCCTTATTATTTATATATACTCTGAATACTTTCCTAAGTCGTAATTTATTTGCAAGTGGGAAACAAGACTAATTTAGGTAATATTTAAAACTTGACATTTTTCTTAAGCATCCCCAGGACTACAGTAAAAAGTACAAATTACTGTCTGAAGAGACCAGATTGGCCATGCATATCTCAGAATTTGCATTCAGGACTTTCGCCATTGTGCCAACAACAACAAAAAATTAAGTAAATAAGCTGAAAAAATAAAAGTGAGTGAGGATGGATTCCTGACATTCAAATGCTGGTGGAACTGTTGCAAGTGTTACAACTATTTGTACTCTCTTCCACATAGCAGAAAATTCAAGGAAAGAAAAACCCAAACTGAGCCTCAGAGGTACAGAGG